GGGGGGAATAGTTTCTCTTTCAGTCTACCAGCATTTTATCTTTAGGTAAAAAAGTTTTCAACATTATTTTTATTTCGTACTGACTGAAACATCACTTGGTTTTTGTCATTATTATGAAGCATATTTAAAATAAAAAGAAGATTTAGCTATTCTGGTGAATCTATTAAAAATATCTGCCCTGTAGAATATTGTGTTAACCATTTCAGACTCCTAAACAAACTATGAAAAATAATAAAGCAATCATCCAATTTGAATAATGTATTATTGTAAAGAACAGTTGTTTTGCACAGGAATAAGGATAGTGAATCTACCATTGCAATCCATTTCATCAGATCCATCCAGACAGTCTCCACTTCCATCACATCGCCAGATATTCGGCATACAGTTTCCATCGTCACACCGCCACTGGTCTGGTCTGCATCCCAACATTTGTCCTATAAACATTCAAGAAGGCTTAGGAAATATTTCTGGCTTTCACTGGAGTTTTCCAGTAATTCACTGGATGAATTGTGCAATGGATCTAAAATTACACCCCTCCCTTTTCAGATCAGGATTTTTAAAAATTAAGCCAAATTCAAACTGAATTGTAAATGATTGGTGAATTGCTTTTACAATGACTTAATGTGGGCAACAAAAGCCACTGGCAAACTCACACCAAGTCAGTATTTCAGTAAAGGAAAAACCTTTGATAAACCGAGGAGGTCTAAACTCGGCACAAAAGGTCGATTGAGCAAACAGAAGGATACATATAATGCGCACTGCTTTCACATCTTCAAATTGATGTTAAAGGAAAGCTAGCTAAAACAGCATGGGTATATTTTTGATAAATATAACTACCTATTTCCACCAACTGATACATTGTTTTTACCCAAACGTTACACAAAAAGTAAAAGAAACAGAGGAACATTTGTATTATAAAAACGCATGAACAAAAACAGATTAACTGGCATTCCAAAAAAATATTTTATCTCTGAGCCAATGGGGTGCAGAAATGTACGCGAAATTACCTTGCTCGTGTTTAGGCTGACATTGAAGAACTTGTGGAAACGTGCTTGAGTGTTAATTGACATGTACTGTAGGCCAACAAACTGGCTTAATAGCAACACTTAATGGGTATAATGCCTTAAACCGAATATAATGTTTCTTACCTTGGGAAATGCTCAGAATTGCCAGGATTGAGCAAATTAAGTGTCGAAAGTCCATGATGGCCCACGCGGCTCGTCGTGAGAAACAACCTCACCTGAGAGGAAATGCTTTAATCAGCTTCACCTACTGCAGGTGCGCGTGCGATATTCACTTCCGTTTACACACAAATAAATACGTTGTAGGCTATAAAACATTTACCACAAAACGCACATGATCAACACAAGTCATTGATTTACTTTGTGGTTACTTAAACCGGTTTGGAAATCTATATATATTTATGTTTGTTCATTTAGGCTATTTAAAAATGTTGTCGTAGGCTATTCCAAACAAGCACAAGTCTACATTAATTAAATAAAGGTAATTTCAATAAAACGACATGCGATAACTTCTAAGGAATTTTCACCACACACCTCAGATTTGGTATAGGCTAATTAAAGGTTTGGAAAGTTAGAGTTTAGATAATTTAGCAGGTAAATCTGTTTAATGTGGTTTCATTTGAAAGAGAGCGAGCTGTTCATGTGCTGCCTTTTGTCCAATGGCTTACACTTACTTCCAGTGATGTGAGTGTTGGAAAGGTTTAGCGTGTTTACACTAAAAACGGTTTTAAAATAATCAAAGCTTTGTACTTAGCATAAAGTCCCCTTGACCAATGATGGGCAACGATCAGATAGAGTGTCTGAAGTCACTGACTTTTGAAGTAGGTTGACACTTACAACTGAACTCGCCTAAATATACATTTTCGGAGCAGTGCATTGCTACTTGTGTTATTCGGTTATTCCCTCTTGAAGTGCTCTCTGTGATGCGATAAAGCCGTGGGCATTTTGGATAGCATTTGCCTTGTATGCACAGAACGATTGAACGTAAACTATTCGTGTATTGGTACCTTATCTTGAGGTAAAACTGTGTCCATAAGTTAAACTAAAAAATCAGTTATGCAGGACAGGGTTTGCCAGATAAATGTATAACTACAACAAGTATCAAGATTATAAGGATATAAAACATTAAAAGCGTTTCAAATGATCTTTCTTATAACAGCTGTAATAGATTTAACCTCATAACAAAGAAAGTTTACTCAAGTAAAAGTAACTATACAACAGAATACAAGTTCATTCAACAATTTATTTAAGGACACATAATGTAACTAAAAGTACATTTGTCTCAAGATTATAATGTATAGCTGCAGCTTGTAAATATTGTCCCAGTTCGGCTATTTTTTATTCTGATGAGAAGCCTAATATTATAATAATGTATGTATTAATAATGTAAATCTAAAAACGAATCTATTGTTGTCAAATACTTATAGTGGATTAGAAGTTTTTGAAGCATAAGAATGGAAATATTCAGGTGAAGTATACCTCTTAAAAGTAACTCGAAATTGTTCTTTACTTGAATGGACTTACAGTTCCTAATTAAATAAAGTTACTTTCCACACCGTTAAGCAACACACATCGTTTTAAGTTTGGTTTTCGTTGTAGTGAACATGCTACAGTTGATTTTGTACTAATGTTTTACACTTTTGTTACACTCTGGCTCCAAACGTGCAATACATTGTTTAAAACAAAGTTGTTTTCATGTCGTGTCAATTAAGAACTTTCATAGAACAAGACGTATGGCACTAATGGCATTTATTTGGTTCTTTTCAAGTTCATATGCTCATCAAGGCTTTGTAGTTTGTTATCAACACGTTCTGCTTTCCTTTGAGCTCAAGTATGCAGTTTGACTTATGAATGGGCAACGATTATCTGCCATGTCCAACACATTAATGTTCCTTTGAAGATGCTGCTGTCACTTATCATGGCACATTATACACCTGAAATTGCTGTATTACATCTTTTTTTGAAGTTGTCCAAAATTGTGGATTATTACAGCTCATCTGAACATATGTGTAGTATAAAAACCCATGTATTTGAGATAAATGTATAATGTGGTGATATTTGGCTTATTTTGTATTCATCTTTAGTTTTTATATGTATACATTTTACATGTTGAGAATGATCACACATCCTCCTGCCCAGTTTCAATATCAATATAAATGATTTTATAATTGTTGTTATTATAGGTCTTTAGATAAAACATTTTAATCTTTAGTTTAAAAATAAACACAACAAATAAGCATTCAAAGAAATTCAATAAAACCAACGAATAAGATAAGATTTCCACAAAATTGGCGAGGGAACATATTTCACACATCAGCAGAAGCACTAGATTTATCTCTAAATAGCGTCTTTGTTGAATATTTCTGGTTATTGTATTTGTTTATAATTATTAACTACATATTTAAAGTAATTATCCAATACATATAATTGAACTTCGTTCGTAAACATACTAACTATGCCAACAAGTAATGGTTACTTTTTCAAAATATATGGCAAATAAGCCTTTATAAAAAAGTTTAGCAATATTGTAAATGCAAAATGAAAATGAAATCTCCATTAACTTCTGTCAAATATTGATGGTAAGTTTAACATTCTGATTAACTCCCATGTTACGAACCAATTAATCACATCGCATGCAGCTCGTAATCTCTTTAACTGATATTATTGTCATGCCTTCTTATCAAAGGGATCTTTAACCCAAAACAACAACAGTCAGAGTGGTGCCATTTTACACTTTTACCACTACACAGGCAATTGGTTTCGATACACAACGACCCATGTAACATTAAGTCTTTGAGCGCCCCCTGGATCAAACACGCCCTCCGGATTGACAGCTCTTCAAAGACCGTCAGGAGAAAGGGGTGGGACTATAAATCCTGGCCTCAGCATCTCACCTGGAGCATTTGGGATCTACCCGTGGAAGAGACAACATCACACTAAGGAATTATGAAGGGACCTATGGATTTTTCTTTTGCGCTTCTTCTTCTAGTGGATTTGGTTGTGTGTCTCGGCGCACAGCCTTTCCCCGGGATGCACCCTGACGCACTGCTCCGAGGGATGAGTGGCGGCTCCAAGCGCATCCTGCAGACGAAGCAGAGCAGCAGGCTGCCATTCTACATGATGCAGTTATACCGGACCGTGCTGACCGAGGAGCGGGCCAAGACCCTGGCCAACAGCCTGAGCCACACGATGACCGAGGACCCTGCCATGCAGGACTCCGACTCTGTCATCAGCCTGGTCGCTAAAGGTGAGTTTTCATCATAAATCAGATTAATATCATGTACAGTTTTTCTATGGCATATTGTGCATGTGGGATTTATGTTGTTCTTTAAAAAACATATATTTAAGAAATACAGTTCCTTTTGATACCTGTATTATTTTCCCCTTAATTTAATCATTTGCCTCATCAAAAAATGATGAATGTGTTTTAGCATGCTTGCAGTTCCCTTATAAGGAATACAAGCTGTCAAATCATCACATGTTTACATACTGAATGAGAAATTGGACATTGTTTTTGCAGTCCCAAATGTAATGAAATGCATTCTATTGTTTAAGTGATGGAAGATTTTAACACGTTTTTTTTACTCTTATTTATTTCAGGCTGCGAGCAGATTGGCAAAAGGTGGTCCGTTACCTTTGACCTGTCCTCCATGTCTGCGAGCGACAACGTCCAGCTGGCAGAACTTCGCATCCGCCTGTCCGCCTTCACCGAGTCTCCCCGAGCCTCAGTGGACGTCTACCACTCACACAGGGGGCGCTGCTCCGGCACGCACTGCTCAGAGAACAGGATGTTCCTGGGCCGCCTGAAAGCTCACCCCGGTGCCACGGTATCCCTCTCCTCCTGGAAGGTGGTCAACATGACGGGGGTGCTCAGTCGCTGGCTGCAGCAGGAGCACACCACACAGGAGGAAGAGGAGGAGGAAGAGCAGGAGAGAGTCCAACACCTTACTGCTGACCGGGTCATGATGGTGGTCTTCTCAAGGCAGAACCTGAACAACAAGCGCATGCCAACACTCATCCGCACAGCAGAGCACTCCAAGTACGTCAGCTTTGACCGGGACAGAGTGGCCCCTGGCTCTGGTTCCAAGCCGAGGAGCCGCAGGGCCAACAGGCACCAGCACACCCAGCACCAGAGGAAGGGAGTGGCTGATTCGGCCCCCGTCAGCAAGCCCACAGAGGAGGAGGAGAAGGGTCCTCTCTGCAGGAGGGTGGACATGGTGGTGGACTTTGAGAAGATCGGCTGGAGCGAGTGGATCGTCTATCCCAAACAGTACACCGCTTACCGCTGTGAGGGGAGCTGCCCCAACCCAGTGGACGAGACCTTCACTCCAACCAACCATGCGTACATGCAGGTAAGACTGAGTTTAAGACCTCTCTTTTTGTATAGTGTTTCCAGTAATGAGGTTTACCAATAATACCCTACATGTTGTCTAATCCATCATTGTACCTCTTTATCTTTCCAGAGCCTTCTGAAGCTCCACCGCCCAGACAAGGTGCCGTGTCTGTCCTGTGTGCCGACACACCTGGGACCGCTCTCCATGCTGTACTACGAGGCGGGGGAGATGGTCATGAGGCATCACGAGAACATGGTGGTGGAGGAGTGCGGCTGCCACTGAAAGAAATACCTGAAAACCTTTTGGATAAAGGTGAAATAGAATCGAGCAGAAGGCCCAGAAAAGTCTTCAACACTAAAACTGAGCCACTCAGAGACACACAGTGGACGGAGGATCGCAGGGACTTTACAGAAGTCCAGTCTGACACTGGGGCAGAGGCAGCTGGCAGGAAGGAAGGGACAAGCTTTATCCTGGACACATCTCGAAATAATGGATTTGTAAAATCAAGAGTTGTAAATTATTTGTAGTTTTTTGTAAATATCAGGGGACCTTAGTTTTACCTTGGATTGAAAATGGATGAATTGAAGTTTAGAGGGGTTGATTATGGTAATGTATGGATCCAGTAAGATGAAACATAATGTAAACATGGTCATTAACTAAAGCACTATAGAAAAGTCTAACAGTAGTTGTACAGGTCTTATGTACAAACTCTTCTTTTTTTTATTTAAGACTGAAATGTTTAATGCCATTGAAATAAAAAATTTCAGAATGGTTGAAGCGCTTTTAACTTTATTGAGATGTCGGGTCACATGGATCCTTGTATGTTTAAAGTGTACACTAATACAATAAATTATTTCTCATCAGAACAAAGTGTGTGATGGTTTTTATTTAAGGGTTTTTACAAGAGCATAAAAGTGGCTAATTTCCTCTAACTTTGTAGGGTTGCTATGCTATGAGGCACAGCAGGCATTTGAGTGTTCGAATATAAAGACTGGTTTCCAGGAAGTAGTTTTACAAATAAACTTTTCAAACAGCAGAGATGGGAGAAATACTCAGATCTTGTACTTAGTAAAAGTATAAGTACCAGAGTGTATACTCTTACAAGTAAAAGTCCTGCATTCAAAATGTTACTCAAGAAAAAGTACAAAAGTATAAGCATCAAAATATACTAAAAGTACCAAAAGTAAACATTTCAGAATAACATATTTTATATTATTATAATTATTGATGCATTAAAGTGTTATCAAAGCTGGCAGCTAGTTTGAATGACTTTGTATACTGCAGGTAGCTTGTGAATTTACTCCAGGTGTAACTCAAGTCTGATTTAAGAGTTGGTTATATTTCACATCATTTATCAAATTCTGTAAAGTAACTAACGGTATTAA